AAAAAAAAAAGAAAAAGTATGCCAACAAAGATAACACCAAATGAAATGTATGCAAAAGTCGAGACAAGAGTTGAAGTCTTTGTCCTTAAATCGATTTTGCCCCACAACATTGCTTACAAATGATGGCAATCAACTCCCAAGATGCAACGACTATCTTATTGTGTTAATATCACTCCAAAACACAAGATCACCGAACCAAAAATAGATTTTGTACTCCTTTTTGAATGAGCAAAAGAAAACTAGAATTTTTGCAAAATTTATGTAGAATTTTGGTAGAGAAAGAAGAAAGTAATGTTATGCTATGATTGCATATCATTTAGATGAAGAAATTGACGTCCAAAGAGTCCTATTTATAGAGGGATAGAGGTCGTGAGTGAAGAGATATGGCCCAAAACTCAGCAATCTTTGCCAAAGATTGCAGCTTTTGTTGTCGCTAGCTTGTCGCATTTGCATTGCTTGAGTGTAAAAAACAGTGAACCCATTGCTCACCTATTGCTCGAGCAAAAGCCTCGCTGCTCAAGCGCCAGGCTAGCACTAGGTGAGTGGCGGAATTAGTTGATTTTTCAACCAATTTTTCTTCTCTTTCTTCCCAACTTTGGATCACAATTTCTCATTCATCTGAAATTGATTTTGGGATTCCAAATATATCACAACGATCTACTCGACGAGTGGAACAAGTTAATCTATTTACATTTGTAATTTCACTATCGGATCAAGTCCGAATATTTGGCCTATCAAGTTGACAAGAAAGTCACTTTTCCCATGTTTTATACATAACCAACTCCACCCAATTTATATAATGAATTCAGAGAAATACAAACTGAAGATTGTGATATACACAGTAAGCCAATATGCAAACTTCAGTATAAAGCTGGGATAGCAAATTATATGACATGTTGCTAATATTCGGATACCAATCAATCTTAATCTTGGTACATTCACATAGCTCTTGCATTGCAATTCCAACTTTTTTGGCTGAAATATTGAACTGCACAAATTATTCCTGCAAAACTGTTCTAAACTTTCTAGACTCGGTAAATACAAGAGAAAGCGGAACAGTGAAGTGAGAAATAAGCTAATTGTACAACATTGCAAAAAAATATGGGCATCTTCTCATCTGAATTCTTGGTTGCTGATGATCAGCCACTTCCCAAGGAAGTGAAGCCGTGTAGCAGGATGAAATACCAATACCTGCTCGTCCCTGTCATCTCGTAAGATATGGAGTTTTACTTTAATGGCACTGGTTCAAAAGGCTAATGTACGAGAAACCACCATATCAAGGCCATCCAGTGGCCCAGCTGGAAAACATCAGAAGCATGCCTTTCTGTTTTAACAAGAACGTATTTATACTTAACAGGAGAAAAATGATGAGCTCAAGACCCGTTATTCTTCAAATGAATGAGTACATATTTTCTTTAGCAGCAACGACCAGTCTTCGCCTGGTTGCTGAGGATTCAACTCCATGGCAACCCTAAATCGTGCAAGGAAAAAGGGCAGTGGGCTCTCTGTTCTTGAAAATCCAAAGGCCGAATTGCATCTGCTGTTGATGACCTGGTCTGACACCATTTAAACTTAACTGGAGAAAAATGATGAGCTCAAGACCCGTTATTCTTCAAATGCATGAGTACATATTTTCTCTAGCAGCAACGACCAGTCTTCGCCTAGTTGCTGAGGATTCAACTCCATGGCAACCCTAAAATCCTGCAAGGAAATGGGGCAGTGGGCTTTCTGTTCTTGAAAATCCAAAGGCCGACCACTAATTTGCATCTGCTGTTGATGACCTGGTCTGACACTATTAACAAGCTTCATATATGCCTGGTGTTTGTGGATATTACTTTTTGTTAGATCATGCCCACACCTAGCACCAACAAGTTCAATGCAAGACCTGATTAAATTTTTCATGTAACAATCCAAACCATGGTTTAGCATGTTGGCAGAGTCTATTGACACCCCTTCGAGACCCTGTGTGGCAGCAATCTGCTCCATTCTTTCCCTTAATGTTAGATTGTCTAACAAAGCACCATTGTTATAAGTGCTAAAATATCTACTGCTACTTGAAAGAGGCAGAGCTTTGCGCCCCCCGCCAATGCTGACTGAGCATAGTGGAATCCCAAGTGGAGCTCTAAGAAGTTTCTTTGAATAGACCTCTTTCCCTTCATCTCTTACAAGCAATTCAGTCAAGTCATTGTTATGTACAGAAACTGGACCATTTGATGATGTCTTTATCGTTTCATTCCCAGCTTGCTGCATGGGTTCTTGATGATGCTGCATTGGCCTCCCAATATCAAGTGGATTAAGAGTCCCATTCTCCAAGATGACATTGAAATCGCTTGACTGTGTAGCAGTCGAGTGCTGAGATGCAAAACTGGTTTCACCATTTGGTCCAAGTACACTACGACGTTCTCCAGTCCTCCGATCACGGGAGCCTGTCCTGGCTTTTTTGGGTGAAACCAGTAATATGTCACCTCCGTAAGCCGAACCTGGCAAGCCAGAAGCCTGGGTCATGGTGGATTGGGGTTTATTTTGACGATAACCATCAGTCGGAATCTCTTTGATATTAACTTGTGTACTATGCTTCACAACATCATTGTAAGTTGCCTGTGGTGGGACTTTTGCACTACAAGCATTTTTCAGTATTGATCGAATAAACAGATTGTGTAGTGGAATATTCTCCCGCCCAAGAATGCTAAGACAAAGCTTATTGAACTCAACCTTATTCAGCTTCAAACTGAAGAAGCTATTCAAGTAATGAAAATACTGCTTGGACATCTCCGGCCCAAGTTTCCTCACAATCTGAACTTTAAGCTCAGTAAGATCGATCCGCGAATGATGATGTGGAGGTTGCATCTCTCTGGTTCTTTCAACACTCAAAATCCATGTAAAAGAAGCACTCTTCAAGACAACAATGATAGAGAACCTCAAATTAAATTCCATTCCAATTCCAAAAACCCATCTTCCAAACAACATTTAATCCTTCTGACAACAACCCTAACGATGTCAAACCGAAACCCATCTCCAAAAACTCAATTGTCACAAAATACTTGGCCCAGAGATCTCAAATTTTCAATTAAATTAACTCTCCCTCCAAAAACCCAATCCGAAAACCTTCCAAATTTTCAACACTATGCACAAAACCACGACTAAAATGCACAAACTCTTTCATTTAACTAAGCTTCATAACCCCATAAAGATACCTCCCTGTAACTCCAAGTAAGCCCACCACAGTTTATGTATTTCCACAAAATTCCTAATAACCTAAAGGCCAATTTTTTAATAAAAGTTTCAAGCTTGAATTCTTAACTTCAAATTCAGATTTTCATTCACAGAATTCAAACTTGAATGAAGTAAACGAATCATAAAAGAACAGAAGTTTCAAACATTGAGAAAAATATCATATCACAGAGAAAAATTATTGGGCTGACCTTATTGAAGCTCCTGATTCGATTCAGCCAAATAACAATCACAAAAACACTCAGCTATTATTTTCTTGAATTCTCGCTTGTTTCTTGAAAACCGTGTAACTTCTTCTTCAATATGCCCTTTTACCTTTCAAATTTTACTTACATTTTTAAATCTCTGCTTTTTCCCTTCAATTTTATTTTCTGAATCAGAAAATGGAAGCCACTTTTCTTTGTTTTCTCTTACCGATCTCTCTAATTCGGTTTCTCCTCTTTCTGATTTGTTTCTGATAACAAGAATACTGTTTTTGCATTATTTAGACAGAAGGTACAATTTCTTATGCACAATGTATAACATTTAATAGTGTACAATATGGTTAAATCTTTGTACATTGATTTGGTAGGTCGAAGATTAGTTTGGAATTAGCAATTTCTATTCGTGGGAGGTCTAAGTTCTATCACGCGCTATTAGGTTCGTGATTACGACTCGCGATCTCACTGGAGAATAGTAAGTGATGTATTATCACGACTTTGCTGCAAACGTATTACTCAGAGTTTCTATTCTATTTTGAGCAAATTATACTAATTTTTTTTTTCAGATTTTTGCTCAAATAAGTGTTCGTCATCAATTGAATTTTTAAATTGGATGTTATTTCCATATTATGTAAATGTTTATATACAATAGCATTATCTT